TGTTTGTCTGGTTGGCTTTTTGTTACTTTCCTCTGCATTTACATCTAAAATAGCTCAAAGAAAGTTTAGGGTCAGCTGCACTAGAAACGTATTTAAAGGTTAAAGTAATATTGAGTCTTTGCTTTTCATAAAAGAGAGTAATTTCTTTGTGCAAACTCATAATACATTTCTTAAATTCTAACAGAAAGTGGATCAGAAGCTGCCACTAGCTTTCACCAGAATGTCTAATTTCTGTGCATGAGGGCCCAAATCCCGAGCRCACTGAACTGAATAGCAAGAACTTGCAATTGCTTCCAGTAGACTTAACTACCTTTGTACAGCTCTGTTGCATTAAACAAGACTGACTTTTCCTGCACATACAGCCCTACCGAGACATAAGAATTCCTCAGCACGAATCCATGCACAAATTTACACATGCGTTGTGTCAATGTGTCTTACACACTCTGGCAGGCACCTATTGCACCTATTTATATGCAGGAAATTCTCCACATTACAGCACTGCAGGTACAGGTGTATCTGTACATAAGTGTGCAAGCCTTGGTATACYTGTACATATAGAGGTGCATGTCCCTCTATGTACACGTGCATGTACACACGTCTAGGCAGATGCATATCCCTCTGTATCCACATACAAAGCATGACTATACACAGAGATGGATGCACAGAGTATTTCTGTGTCTTTCTCAGGTATCTTTTTCAAAACTGGTTCCCACCTTCTCAGATTCAGCTGGGCTTTCTCAAGTTCTTCTGAGACCTACCAGCCTCAGAGGAGTCTCACATTTTGCTACAAAGACATAGATTAATGCAGAATGGCTTTCTTCTTCTGGAAGTAACTTGCTTTCATTTGTTCAGCTTGGAATCTTTGATACAGTATGCCAAAGCAAGAAAAACAAAATTGAGGGGAAAAAAAAAAAGCTTGTTTGCTAAAAGCTGAGACTACATTAAAAAAAGATGTGAGAAAATCAGCTCAGCCGATGATTCATGGTCACATTTCTCAATATCTTGTAAAAAAAAAAATAATAATGATCTTTTTTGATGTCTCTAGATTTCCCGAGCTGAAGCACCCAGCAGTTTGTCGGCTTTATCTTTGTGCCCTGTGCCTGCTCCCTTCCACTGCACTATTTTACCTGCAGCTTTCCCCTCTAGGGAATCTCTGCCTTTTAAGTAAATCTGAAGGGAGACAGAGAGCTCCACTCAAAGAAGCTGCAGATAAGCAGAAAGTTCCCTGAGATTCGGGATCGGATTAGGTATTATAAGAAAAAGAGGGGGGCTTGCAGGGACGTTGCCTTGCATGAAGCAAAAAGCCTTTGGAGTGTGCCCTCTCGTGGCCATCCTCACCCAGCACAAACGGTTTCCTTGGGAARGAGCCCATGACATGAGGCAGAAGTGACCCCTCATTTGCCTCCTCCTGAACTTTGCCAGAGGGAACTAGGGATTTTCCTAGGAGAAGGTTCGTGCATGCACAGGTAGGCATGCAGGAATGGAGGTATCCAACAGTAAGTCTGTTCTGCGTGAATTCAGCATGCAGCAGTGCAAAAATGGAGAACCTATGTAAATAGCTGTCATGCTTCTCTCTATTTCTTTTTCTTTTTTTTTCTTTTTTTTTCTCCTTTTTTCTTTTTTTTTTTTTCCTGACAGTTTGCTTAATTATAAGCTTTTGGATTTCAGCATTTCCTCCCAGTAACTCCCATCACCCTCTCGGGGGCTGATGTTAGCAACCCATTTCATTGGCGGCTCAGTTGCCAGGATCAAATTCACTTGGCAAAAGCCCAGGCCTGCCTAATAAGCTATCTGCTTAAAATAATGAAAGAGTTAGTAGCCAACTATATTTTATGAGCGTTGGCTATCTCACTTATGGAACCTGCTGGATTTGCTTGTCAAGAGTGTATATGATCCCTCTCCTCAAAAGGCACTTTTTAAGACCTTGAAGTAAGCCCTAGAGCTCTGGCACAGCTACGCCCATGGCAGAACTAATCAAGGTTAGTAATCTTAGTTTGATATGCAAGTAGAAAATCATTTTTGTGTTTTACTTGTAAGAGTGCCAAAGGACAGTAGGGTGCATTTGTAAACTTTTGCCCAATACTTGCGGTCATTAGTTTTGCAAAGATCTGTCTGGATTTGTTAGCTGTGAAAACTACCTGCCAACTATTTTGCTGATTTCCTGGACATAACTACACCTGTGCACACAAATTCACCACATTTAGTTTCCCCTGCAGTTGTCCATGTGCTTGTTCGATTTTTAGTCCATTTTAGAAAATAGTAGTCTCAAGCCAGAGCCACATGCATAGGGCACTGCTTGTTTATTTGCTCCATTTCATTGTATGTCTGAGGATATGGCTTATGAAAGGTGGAAATACTACTTTTTTTTTAATGAAAGCTAGTAAATGGGGCTTCTGAAAGGGAGGTGGCAAATGGCTGTCTTSTGTCAAATCATACTCAAAGGAACAAAAAGTCTAAATTCCTGCTTCTCTTTCCATAGATGTTTATTTGATATCATGTGAGATGTTTCCATTCATTTTCATTGATTTCCTATTCCCCTCATTTTAGATATTGAGAGTTTCACATTACAAGTGGGAAGAACATCAACCTCAGTGTAAGAGTAACATATTCTCCTACTCAGCGCTTAAAACTTCTGACTCTTTTCAGTTCTCATAGGCAGTGGAGACCATCCACGTAGCTCTCATCTATTCCTCTCTTTTCCCTCATTTTGCCTAGGTGACATGTCGCCTGGCTTTTCTTTGCCTCACTTTCCTCAGCAGGACAGATAATACTACTTTAATACTTGACACTTAACCCCCTTGGCAAGTGAGTGGAAGGGATCTTGGGTAAAGTTTACTTTTGCTGTTACRGCAGGAGCACCTGGAAGGCACAGTAGAGGACTGATGTTAGAGAGATGCCAGATAGCAATAGCTGCAGATGAAAGATACGTTTCAGCAGCTCGCGGTAACTCCGCAGAGTGGAGTTAATGTGTCCATCATAAGCCAAGGTATCTAGGACTCGGTTTCTAGGTTTTTTCAAGGCTCCTCCCAAATGGAGGTAGGTCTAGCAGGTAGGGGAGCCAGGGCCAGAAGGGAATCCTGCTGAAGGGAGAGCAAAGGAGCGGAGAGCAGCAGGGAAGGACAGGCATGAGAGCGCAGCGCGTGCCCACGTGGCTCTATAGCATAAGGCTTAGCACATTCGCTTGGCTGGCAGCGGGGAGACAGCGCTGTGCAAATCCCGCTCCGTGACGTGCTCGCGTTGGGCTGCTYGTGGACGGGGGGGACCGGTGGCGGGACTATTGGCCAGCGTGTGGGCAATGGCACGATTTTCACCGCTCACGTGGCCCCGCGAGCCAATGGCTCGGGGAGCTGCTGTTGGAGGGTGTCGTAGCGAGGAGGCATATATCAAATTCCAAATTCCTTTGTGTCAGAGCTCAGGAGAGACAATAATGTGTTTACAAATGATTGGGACTCACACAGTGAAGAGAAACCACTGTTCATGCCATATGTGTTTCACTGTGCTCAGAGCGAACTGCTGAAAACCAGGTGGGGAATCCGACTCATAGACAGCCTAGAGATTTCATTGCTTTTAGAAACTCCTTTCTAAGCTACGGCCGAGCCACCCCTGCTTCGAACGAACACTCGCACTGACATCTTCGGTCTGCTTTCGGAGGAGGGAAGGAAAGTGAGGAAAAGACTGAGCTTTCCYAGGGAAAAGCCCGATCGTGTGTGCCTTGACAAGGACGCCAAAGGCAAGGGCTCCTTGTACAGTTGGAAGCCGGACAGGCAGCAGGAATGTCTGCTCTGAAAAGCATGCACACTTCTTGTGCATGGCTTTCCTGCAAACAGAACATCTGAGTCAACAGGTTTTCAGGACTGGAAACTCTGAGTGTTGTCTTAATTGTTTATACTGCTGCAGCAAACTTTTAAACAAAAATGCTTGGAGTTCCTTTGCATACTTTGCCTACCATATGCTGTACCAAACAAAACAATGACATTCTTTTAAAACCGTCTTGGCAACAGGGAAAATGCTTTGGCTAGACAACATCATAAAAAGTTGCTGGTAGTTAGGTGGCAGAACTATTTGGTGATACTGGTATCAATGCATGTATAAGCGTATGTATGTATAATAACATATACCTATACATAGACTTAAAATGAGTTCATTTAGGAGCAAGGCATTAAAGCAGAACTTGCGAGTTGTTTCCTATAGGCAGATGATTTGAACTGGAGCTATTAGTTAGTGAACAGCTGTATTCTGAACTCYTCCTGTGCAAGAATCAGGGAAAACAGATCTGTGAAATAGTTCAAAATAGACCCTATCAAGGTTGCAGTTTTTTTGGCAGGAGTGACTTAGGACAGAACCCTTTTTTATCCCCTAGCATGCAGAAGTCTGTGTTACAAATTGAATCAGCTACAGCAACTTGCCCAGTTCTATGGAAGTCATCTGACAGTCCCTGCAACTCTTTACTGCCGAAGATGCTGTGTTAAATTAAAAAGCAGAATTGCCCTCTCCCTCCTGTGAGTTAAAGCTGCTGCATCTGATTCTGTAGCCTCCACTATAATTTTTACATGAAAAGGTTGTTTCCTCAACAAGCACACAGCTCACTTTCTGTCTTTAGAAACTCTCCAAGAGGTTTCAGCCCTTTTTCTTTCACTGTCAGCCCTGCAACCCAAGACTTTAATGCAAGTGCTCTGGCTTCACAGGCGCGGTTTGGAGGACCCCTGTGCAGCCTGACTTTCTGCTCAAGATAGAGAGCTGCCTCACTGTGCCTGTGTTTAGCAAGTGTAATCTGTAGCCAAAACTAAGGCAGAAAACCCAAATTCCTTCTGAGTCCCCCCTACCTCAATGACATTCCTCCTTCTCCCTCCCCCCAAGCCTCTTATAACCTGGCAGAAAATATTATAATCTGGCAGAAAACATTATTGTTGAGGAGAAGGAAAGAAGTTAAGTGCAGTTCTGGCAGAAAAAAAATAATAAAAAAGGCATCTATTTTACAGTTTTGTTTTTTAAGCACTCACCTGATTCCGCAAAAGTGATGATTTCTGAGGTTTGCTCCACAACTTCATTCATTTCGGCTCTTCTTCCAACATCATCCTCTATTTCCACATAGCCATCCTCTCCCACCTTTCCCACGTGGAGCTTCTTGATGGCATTTAAAAGTGCTGCCTTGGGCACCGGCTGGGTGATGTTAGGTCTGTCCCTCAAGTGCAACATGTTCAGTATGTGCTTCTTTACTGCTTCCACCATCTCCGGCTGTGAGCTGGGCACATCCTTGGAGAGCGTGGCGAGGGCACATGATGGGCAGTCAGTGACTGAACTGTGCCCTTCGGATCCTGGGGTTGGGGAACTCCTCACTATAATCCAGCAAAGCACCAACAGAAATCCTCTCTTCAAAAGCAAAGGCATCCTGGCAGCAAAAGTTGTTGTGATTCCCTTTTTAAAAGGCCCTGCTTTTCCTCCCCCTTCACGCACAGTTTTGTTTTTGCTTTTTGTTTGTTTTTTTTTTTTTTTTTTTTTTTTTTTTTTTTTTTTTTTTTTTTTTTTTTTTTTTTTTTTTTTTTTTTTTTGTGGTTTTTTTTTTTTTTTTTTTTTTTTTTTTTTTCCTTTTCTTCCCCCAATTTTCTGGAAAAAAAAAAAAAAAAAAAAAAGAACCAAAAGTTTTCTGTGAAGTTTTGTTTGCAGGTCCCCTCTCTGCATGCAATGAGTGCTGTAGATGTTTGTGGCTGTCAGGGAGAAGAGTTCTGACTCTGTCTCAGAGTAGGAGAGAGACACAGGGAGAGAGGGAGAGAGAGAGAGAGGACGGATTGGCCTAAAGTGAGTGAGTGAATGAGAGAGGGAGGGAGTTTTGTCTGTGAGTAAAGGCTATGATTAGGAAGGGGGAGGAACAGGCAGGCTGGCTTCCTTATGCTCATTGCTCCCCTAACACACACCTCTCTTCAAATATCACTACTCGTGTTTGCTGCCCTCCCCCCGTTCTAAAATCGCTTTTCTTTGCCGTGAATTTACTCCTTCCCCTCTGTTTGACTCCTGGCTGTCGGTCCCCCCCTCACCCCCCTTTTTCTTTTCCTTTCTTTTTTCCTTTTTTTGTTTTGTTTTGTTTGGTTTGGTTTGGTTTKGTTTGCTTGATTYCTTCAACAGTATCCCTGGCTTAACTAAGCAGAGGGAACATGAATGAATGAAGGCAGGAAAACCTTTCATTAATGAGCACCTTGCTTTGGGTCCTGCCCGGTGTTGCCGGAGACAGCAAGGGATGTTAAGGAGCTTGCGAGTGAGAGGGGGCAGAAGCCGGAGATATTTGGAGCAGAACGATAGTCTGCCTCAAGAGGGAGGAAAAAAAAAGAGCTTTTCTGCTCACTTTCAAATGCTGGAGGTTATCGACACTGCCGAGAGACCTGATGGGAACAAAATGCTGCTGCCATGTAGGACGGGGTGCGCTCGGCAGCTGCAGGACGCAGCGAGGCACGGAAAGCCGGAGTGCGAGGTGGTTGTGCCATGCGGAGGGGCTGCCCTCGCTCCGGGAATATTCCTGCGTCCACCCCAGCCGCTGCCCAGGCTTTCTCRAGCAGATATATTTAGGTTTGGGGTTAATCAAGTAATGTCTCAAAAATGCTTTGAAGATGAAAAGTGTAGCATGTCATCTGGCCAAACCATACTTGCTCCTGACTCAGGCGAATCCCTCATCGATGCCAATAATAATTTTGTCTGAGTGAAGGCTGAGTAAGACTTTCTACATTTGGACTACTGTTATTCGAAGGCACCTTTTGCTTCATTCATTTAAACCACACGGGGCAATCCTAGCACTAGAATAAGGCATCGCATATGGAAAGTGATCTAAAATAGCACCAGGAGCCAGAGTTTCAGCAAGTGGCTGCATCTGCACTGGTTTATGCCAGCGAGGGCTTTGCCCCTGCACCGAGAAGGCATTGCCTGCGTCCCTCTCATGACTTTATTATTTTGCCGTTATATTCTGCACTGCCTCCYGCCCCATCCTTATCTAGCAAGGACAAAGTCAGCAGATTCCCTTAGGTTTCAACTTGGTAATGCAGAARGAGAGGGGCACGGCTTGTGGAGCCAAGCTCTTGCGTTCTTTCCCTGCTGCACTTGAACTTTTAAAGATTTTCTTAGAGCAGCTCCTGCTTCCTTTTTCTTAGTGTTCACCCTCTTCCTTTTCCTTTCTCTCAGTCTCTCTCCCGCACACCTCTGTCTTCCCAGGTGCGCTTACCTCCTACCCAGCAAATATTCCACTTTCCCTGTGTTGCTGACAACCATGGTATTTTAGTGGAAAGGAGTAATTTATAAATATACGAATTATAAGGTCTCCGGTTTCTGTGAGATGACTACAGGCACATGGACTGAGAGACAGGCAAGGAATTATAGTTATAGTAAATGAAACATACAGAAGTAATTGAACAATCAACCAAAGTTTTACAAATGTTATATATTGCAAGTCCTTTTCAATTAAGCTCCTTTATAAGTCTTTCACTGTTATAAGGCATCCACAGCACACCGTCATCTGTGTTTTACTGACCTCAGTTACTATACTGTTATATACAGTTACACTTACGGGTCTGTCAGCGTTATAAACCCTGCAGCCATTCTTATAAACACATCTTTGTAACACAAACCTCACTATAATACATCTCAATTTCTTGGATCTCATGAACAGCCCCAAAGTCTGTTGTAATTATATGAAGTCTGAAAGTCAGCTTGAAATAGAAATAAAAGTTTAATTGGATGAAAAAATAATTTGAGATGAAAATATGCATTCGTGATTAGATRTATTAACAGATGACATAATTAGAGCGGTTATTTATAGTTCTCATATAGCACCTATCCCAGTAGTGTCTGATGAAAAGTAAGGGATAGGCGTATAGCAACATAAAATATAGATATGTATATTTGGTTTCTTGACGCGGGGTATGCGTTGCTTGCCATGTATATTAGGTACACTTATTATACACAATCTCTATTGCTTACAGATATAGCACATTGTACTTGCATGCCATGATGATTATAGATTTAACATTAAAGCAGAACTTTCTATAAAACATTATCTTATAAAGCATGTCTACGGATTGTACCTATATATAGTTCGTTCATACTTACATGCGTACACGTATATATATATATATGTTCAAGCTTAAAAATATAGAAATGATGGTTCAGACTCTTTCTATAAAATTCCATGAGCTGCCAAGCTCTGTATATGCATTCATTCAGTACATCCATAACAATATGCAACAACATGCACTTTAATTACAAGTTTTAGTTTTAAAAGAAAAAGAAAAAAAAAACTGATTTAAAGTTTTTACCTCTCCAGTCCTCACTCTCAGAAGGAGACTGCTGTATTGTGCATTAAGAACTGCTCAAGTTCCTCTTTGTGGTATTCATAATGCGAAGCTTTATACTGTACTTCTCAAGTCTACAGTCACAAAATTATGCCTGTCAAAAGTAAGGGGGCCGGATCAGTGAGCTGGATTGGTTAATCCAGTTACATCAGCAATTGACTGTTTTTCCTGTATGAGGCATACTTCTGGTAATTATCTAATGGAAACTCCTAATTGTCTAGCATGTCAAAATACTGTGGATTCAACTTTTGGTGGTGCTCTCTGTAGCCATTTAAAGAACAGAACTTCAAATCAGACTGAAAGTAAACACTGTGAGTCAGGAAGACACACTCCAACTTGTTTTATTGCATAGCTAGATATAYATATTATTAGATGTAGATATCCCTGATTTAGTTCAGATACTTGCTATTTGCCAGATACTTAATTACTAGTTAGCAAATTGTTTTACCCTTCTTTCCTACCAAGAAAATATCAGATAATCTATCTGCAAATTTGGACTTTTTTTTTTCAAATTTAGGAGAAYGCATTTGATTCAGAATGCTTTTTATGGAGGATACAGTTCTTAATTCAGTCTTTGTGTGAGCTCTTAGAGACTCTTAACTTCAGAATACCTTTAAAGCTCTTCAGAAATGAATCATACGGCTGTTGTCCAAGCCCTGTGGCTTCTTTACATGCAGAGTGCATCAGGCTTTTAAAAACTATCATGACTTCTAAAAATAAGTTAAAATGTATGACACATCATCTTTTTTGAAAGTATGGTATTAACACATATGAAATGAAATATAGTTCAATTTTGATTTCATTTAACATTATTGAAGATCAGAAATAGTTCTGTGTCAATTAGGCAGTACAAATTATGTATATATGTGTATATGCATTTATATATATATGGTCAAAAATATATACAAAATCCATCTCTTTTCTTAAACACACATAATAACTGGATTTATTTGGTATCATTTATGACAAATGGCATGATCATGCAGTCTTTACTCATTCAGAACACCCACTGATTACCAGAAAATCCCCATCCTTCAGATTTTTTTTTTTTTTGGCCTGAATCGTACTTATACTTGTATTTTTATGTCCTGCTGGTAACGTAAATATAATCGATCTTGGAATATGGCTGATCTGAATCAGGAAAGAAGGATTTTAAATTTTCAACTTGTAGGGGTACCAGGGAGTGCTTATAGCAGCACTGATTGCAGCTGAAGTATGTGCTGAATTCACACAGCAACTTTGGTAAAATGAGCAAAAAATTAAGAGCTAATGGGAAACATATGACCAGATAGGTTGTTTTGTTTGTGGGTCCAACATGCATATAATAAGTTTTCAAGCTGTGACATGCTGTAGGTTGAAGTCTCTTGAAACAGGTTTCAGTAGCTTTTCTGCAATCTGACATTCACAATTCCAGTTGTTACAAAGAATAGTTTGGGCTTTTTTTTTTTTTCCCCCCTTCAGAGACAGTGAGAGACAGACTGAGAAGAACAAATAATTCCATTCCGGAGGAGCACGCACATACTTTGTTCCTTGCAGGACACTGCCTTTTACTGGGATCCTAAAACCAAGTTTCAGCAAGGCACATTTCCGGCAGGGAATTCTGTATTCCTGGGACCAAACTGCACTTGGTTTTAACTGACATCCTAAAACTCTTTGCAATTAGTTACATACTGGCAGTGCAGTGGTTATTGCAATTTGGCAGCAGACATGTACTCAGCAAGAGATCTTGTACTACACTGTTTTTTTGCAGAGAGCAGAGCATTTGTCCTGAAAGTAGCAGTTACCTTTTCCCTGGAGTCACAATGGGAGATGCTGCATTTCCACCGGCCCTTGGGACCACTGCTGACCGCCTTCTGCAGGCAGCACCCRCCACTTTAGCATCTTCTTCCACAGCCGTAGCAGGTCACAACATCCCCCRTAAGAAAGTGTGTGGTCTGTAACAAGAAAAGGAAGGCTACCGAGCGAAGCACAGCAAACATGGGTATGATTTATAGTGCAGAATAATTTCTGAAAGGAGATTAGGAGAAGTGAAAAGCATTATTCATTTCAGAGCATGCTCCTTATTGCCTCAGGGAATTTGTGTATAGCTTTACCAAAGGCCTAATGAAAGCTGTACTCAGTGACTAATTTTTTTTTTTTCACACCTATTTCCCTCTTTATAAATATTTTTCTCCCCACCCCGGCGCTCCTTTTCATTTTGTTGCACACAGCAACACCTGCTGGCAGTGATCCGGGAGTACTGCTGGAAAGACCCGCGGATCTCGCTCTTCAGACCAGCTGCCATTAAGCACTGCCAAGCCATATTAATGAGCTGCCTCTATTTTTACCCCTTCCTGCCAGAAAGGGCAATTGCTCTTGGGAAAGACTGTAGCCTGCTCTTTTTTTTTTTTTCCCTCCCTCTTCTTTTTTTTCCCCTTTTATTTATTTTTTTTCCTGGCAGCTTCAGAATCCAGATAATCATTGTTCATTTAGTGAAGTTGGGATTTATAACTTAAATTCTGATGCCAGTGCTTGAGACCACATAAAACTTCAGAGTGATGCTAAGACTGTTGAGTTGCCTTGCAGGCATATGTTAGCTCCCTGCTGGGTCAAAAATAACTGAAGGAAAGGGACTGTGAGGGTAATAGAGCAGCCACCTGTCTTTTTTTCCTATTTGTGTATTTTATCTTGCAAACCATTAAAAAATGGCCCATGGCCACCTCGCTATTCGCCTAGTGGAGGCTGTGTGATTTACTGGCTATTTTGGAATCTGGCATGGTACATAACGGTATTTCTGTGTCTTCGTTCTTGCTTTGAGGAGCAGCCACTAGAAAACACATTGGCAGAGSTTACTGTGCAAATCAGCTGGACTCTTGCTCTGTTGTACCTTATTTTCCTGTAAGAGAAACAAAAAAACTGTACCAGGAACTTGTAAGTTCTGTGTTTCCCCTTTTTATGTAAATGGTCCAGTTAGGGCCAGTCTTGCTGCTGCTGCTAACTCTAAAATCTATGCATTGTCAGGGGGGTGGGGAGCAATGTTTTCAAGCAGAATTAGTGAGCTGGTCAAAAAATAAAGTTCATCTAAGGATAAGAACTCTGCCTTGAGGGTGGGGTAAAGAATAGCTTTCAAGTTCTTGCCTTTTTTGTATTAATGGATGCTACTTTTCTTAGGGGGCCAGGTTAAGTATAAATGTTCTGTTTCAGGAGGATCTGTCTTCATGAGAAGTCAGTTTGACTAACAAATAAAAGTATGCTCTTTTCCTTCTCAAACTATACCTCCCTCTTCTGCTGTGCTGTTCATTGATCTTCCAATACACTGCACAATGTCCTGCCTCTTTAAAAGGAATATTTTTATGTCCGCGTTATTGTAGCATATACATTGCTGTTTTCCTCTTAAAAACAGAGAACAGGAGATACAAATGCATTAGACAGGTGATACAGATGATGTTACTAGCATGAGATGAAATGACACAAATGTGTTTTATAATGAGTGCTTGCCTAAAACATCAAATGTGCAGGCAAATCTATTTATAAAAGCCATTTCCTTGAATTTATAGGACGTATAGAGGTATATTATGACTATAAAGGGTAGTCCAAAGGATTAAAGGTGCTCATGCAAACTAGTGTCCTTCCTTGTTCTTATGGCAGGAAGATTTTCCTTACAGTACTGGACTAATTTTTTTTTTTTCCCTTGAGAAACAACTCTGCAATGTGCAAAATGTCTTGAGTGATACTAGCTTCAAAGATATTTCCAGAGTTTGTGATTACAGTCATGTCAAATGATTTAAACTACACAGGAGGGAGCCCCTGACTACAGATCCTATTTGATTCCAAGTTGGATGAATAATTTATAGCCAAAGTTGGAGCAGTGATTAACATTTATAGGTGAATTAAAGCTATTATTGAAAAATAGAGGATTACACTAAATTAATTTGCATGCTGTTTAAAATTCTAGCTGTTGCACAAAGCATACATCAAAATCATTCCTCATGTAATTGTACCTAGGTCAGTGGAGCTTTATCAAGGATACAGCTAGGCCAGCTGCAAAATAATGGGTAATGGCTTTATTTCTCTGGCAAGCCCAGAGTTCTCTGTTTTGTGTTCCTTTTACTACAGTTAATCAAATCACAGCATACACAACAATTAAGAACAGGCTCCTGCTATATTTTAGCTTTTAGGGCCAATTCATAGTGCCACTAAATTTTGTGCTGTTTGTGGGATCAGAATTCAGTTGAGTCCAGCTCTAACTCTGAAGGTTAATATTATCCAACAGTGTATGGAAAGAGCAACCAGAAATAAGGTCTTATATAAAAACTGCTCAGATTTTTCACTGATATACTTCCTAAAGTAATAATGCTTGTGGATTTTAAAAAGACTTATGACTCTGTTTGTAGAGAGGGGATGGAACATTTGTTGATATAAATTGGTGTAGTGCTCTCAACTTCAGAGACCAGGTTGCATCAGCAGAAGATCTGGTATAAAGTCTATTTTTTTATGTAACTTTTAAGTACTAATGTCTGTTTTTTTGGCTTTTCCTTTAAAAATAGGTCCCTGCTCTCATATTTTAAGAAAGGTCCAATTTCATCTTGCTTAAGCTCCCCTGATGATGGGGATACATTTTGCCTATTATGTTTTGAGTACTTCTAAATCTGCTGACGTGTGGGAGGGAATTGAATGAAGCTCGTAAGCTTGCCACTTTCTTTGAGCTGAAGTCAACGAGAGGTTATGCTGGCAAACCTTCCAAGGTAGTCATCATGCACAGGCCATTGGGACAAGTTGCAGTGTCACGCATCAATGGATATTCCTTCTCTGTGAGAGTGGCCAGCCAAGAACTGGCATAAATGAAATACTGAGGACACCAACAGGTGGCTTACAAAGGATATGTTGATTTAGTGCATCGCTGCTGCTTTGTCCATTGTGAATTCCCTGTGGAACAAATCACTGAGGAAAAGTAAATATATCCCACAGTGAAAACGGTCTGGGGAAGCTTGTTTGATTATTGCTGCCAACTTAACAGAGTAGTAGAGACTTGGGAAATCTGGATTCCTTGGCTCTGCCCCCATTACTGGTTGYTTTTTTTTTTYCCTTATAGTTAAAATGGAAACACTCAAATTGAAAAGATTTAAAGAAAAACTGAGATCTGTGGATCAGAAACTGTGAGTAAGAAGTTGTTAAGTTTCTCATTGCCATTTGGGGTCTGAAGGAAAGAAATCTTAAGCAGAGGGAGGGTGTGGATAAGGGCATGGACACGACCAGTTACAGCTTGTCTGATGCAGAATAAAGGGTCAGACAAAGAGTTTTTATGTTGTTG